GGTTCTCAAAAGATGGTGATGACGTCCCACCATTTTTTATGATGTTTTTTTTTTAAAATTATTGACTCATTTATCAAAGGCTTTGTGCTTATTTCAAAGTGAAGTAGAACACTGAGATCTTAGGCTCCATCTTGATTTCTGCTTCAGACCCACTTGGTCAGATTTTGAATACTACATCACACATATCTTCTTCTTCTTCATAATTGATTTTCAAAATTTATCTTGATTTCTGCTTCAGTCCCACTTGGTCAGATTTCGAATACTATATCACGCATATCTTCTTTTTCTTCTTCATAATTGATTTTCAAAATTTATTGCACATTGGGGTTGATATCAGGCTCTATCCTGATTTTTGCTTCAAACCCACTTGGTCAGATTTCGAATACTACATCACACATATCTTCTTCTTCTTCATAATTGATTTTCAAAATTTATCTTGATTTTTGCTTCAGACCTACTTGGTCAGATTTCAAATACTACATCACACACATCTTCTTCTTCTTCATAATTGATTTTCAAAATTTATTTCACATTGTGGTTGATCTCAGGCTCCATCTTGATTTCTGCTTCAGACCCACTTGGTCAGATTTCGAATACTATATCACACATATCTTCTTCTTCATAATTGAGTTTCAAAATTTCTTACACATTAGGGTTATTTGTCGTCGTCTGTTGTATCGAGATCTACCTCTCCATATTATTGTTGCACATTGGGGTTATTGATGTCTATCGAGATCTACCTCTTCATATTCTTGTTCTGATTGCAATCTATTAAATACATCTAATAGACATTGTTCTACTACTTTGCTAATACTATTTTCTATCAAATCTTTTATCGAAGCTCTTCATAACTAGATCAGGATCTCAAGGCTCTGATACCAATTGATGCAAGCAGAAAAAACAATTGGAACAATAAAAATACAATAAGAAGAATCGTTAAGAGAATATATCATTTCTCAGTAAGAGAATCTACCCAAAAAACAAAATCCACAAAGGAATCCACTCCAAAAAGATCTTATCACAAGATCAACTTTATTCAACTATTATTCTCTCATCTGTTTACAATGAGTGACTTCCTTTCTTTAAATAAACTTAAAAAACAATTAACTAAAAAACCCCTCTCTCTCACGTGCACGAACTTTTTTTCATCTATCTCTTCATCTCTCTATTTTCTCTCTATTTTTAGTCTTAAGATATTTGCTTCTGAAAGATAACCCACCTCTATCCATGTCTTCTCTCTTAACAAGACGTGCCATCCTATTTTTCATCCTCTCAATCTTTGATAAATCCAAAACATACAGTCTCCTTGGTTGATAAATCCAAAACATATTTTTTCATATCTAAATCCCATCTTTTACATATTTAAATCCACTTAAATCTCTCACTAAATCTCCATAAAATCTCTCACTAAACCATACTTACCAAAAATCCTCCCTTTTCCTAATTAACTTTATCTTTATTCTAGCTCTATTTCTATACCTAATTAAAAACAAAAAATAAATAAATTCCAATTTTTTATTTGCATAAGAAACGTGGGTAGAGTCGGCATTGACAGAGTTACAAGAGACAATGGTGAGCTGTTAATGAAATGTTATGGTCCTGTTGGCCACATAATTGCAAATCGAGTTGAAATGCGATCAGTTTTACAAGGAATTCAGTTGGCAAAAGGTTTTGGTAGCAAGAACCCAATACTTATCAGAGAAAATTGTTATCAGAGAAAATTGTGGCTGAAGAGGTTTTCTTTAATGTAATAAGCTCGATAATAGAAGAGAAGCGGATACCATAGAAGTTAATGATGTTGTGGGATGAGATCAAAGCTAAATGTGCAGGTTTAAAGTGTATTTTTTTGCCATGTGTATAGAGTTAAAAAATGGGTTGCTGATAAATCGGCAAACCTGAGGGCTGATGCGACAGAGTTATTTACATTTTGATTTCTTTTGGTGTTGGTTTTTTCATTTTTGTTTTTGCGGAGTTGCTTTTATATCGTGGGATTGATGATCTAATTATAAAACTTTAAAACTTTGATGATGTAATACAACTTGTTAACCATATGCAAAAAAAAAAAAACTAACCTCTCAGCTACCGAACCCAATTTGGATCAGCAATTTTCGATAAGGATTAGGAATTTTTTCAATGCCGGTTGATTAGTTGTTCTACTTTTATTGTGAAAATGATAAGTTTGTAATGAGAAAAGTTACCAAATATATTTTGGGCTAGCTTTTCATGCTTCCCCTATACCTATAGCATAAAACTTTTATTCTTTTTCTTATCCAACCGTCCATTCTGAATGGACAGTTGAGATGGCCTCGCTCACAATGTCACGTCTCTACACTATTTTATTTTTAATTTTTTTATATAAATTATTTTGACACCAAATTTTGGATGTCCACTCCTCCCTTAAATTCACAATTCTAAAAATATTAAAAAAGTATTATAAATAAAATAAAATGACCACAATATCCTGAAAGTTTAAAGGGATATTTTGGTCATTATATATCAAAAATTACTTTTAATATTTTTTTTAAGTGCGCCCCATTGAAAAGATGGCACATACCAAATTTCATAAAATTACAATCTGTAGAAAAAAAACTAAAAATAAAATACACTAAGGCATTGGATCTAGATTAAATGATGGATGACTCACTTGATCTAAATTTGACCATATCTAAGGTTCAAATTGAACCTTTTTTTTTTAAGGGGGATTGATTATTGAGATGAAGAGAGTATGTGTGCAAAATTTGGGATCATACAAATACTACAAACATGGTTTTCTAGAAGTGTCGTTTCATTATACTATGATACAACCGCTGCATTTGATCATTATATATATATATAGGAGAAGTATAGAAATATTTCCCATATATTTTAATATGGCAAGCTTTGTTTTAAGGTAAAATGGGTTGGAATAATATCAATAATAAAGTTCATTACATTAGGTTGGTGTACTTAGATTCAAATTTTTATTAATTCTCAACATCATAAACGTGTGCATCAATAAAATTGGAATAATTAATAGCAAAAACTCATTAGAAAGGGAAATGATAAATAATAGCAAAAACTCAGAGAAAGAGAGACAATCATCGTCGATATGGAAGGGACCGCAAAATAAGGCGAAAATGGTCACAAGCTACATATTTCATTTCTAAAATAAATAAGCAAATTAAAAATGTTGTATGTGAGACCCATTCCTACATTTGCATCCCTTGGGCTATAAAACACCAATCTTAAAGAAGATTGCAACTAGGTGGTCCCTCAAAAAAAAAAAGAAGAAGTAAAATCACTGGTCTAAATATGTCCTTTACAAAATTATCACTTCGTATTTTTAAATTTATTTATTTTTACATATTTATGATTTTATTGTTAGAGATTGTATCATCATTATCATCATAACTTTTTTTGAATTAATTGGGGTCAGCTACATGAATCATGGTCTTCCATTTGCTCTATTAAAGGTCATTTCCTTAATGAGGCCATAAATCTTCATATTTTTTCAAACTACTTCTACTACGTCTTTTTGGGCTTACCCCTTGTCCTTCACATTCTTGCCACTTGAACTAACTCGCACATCTTAATAAGTGATGTACTTGGTCAGCACCACACATGATCAACCCACCTAACTCTACCCTATCTTATCTTATTGCCTATTAGTGCGACATATAAATTTTCCCGAATGGATTCATTTCGAATTCTATCCATTCTTGTCTTGCCACTCATCCATCTCAATATTCTCATCTCCATTACACTCATTATGTGGGTATATTGTTTTTTATCCACCCAACATTCCACTGCATAGAGTAAAACTGGTCTTACAATTATCCTATAGAAGTTGCCTTTCAACTTCATTGGTATACGGCGATCACATAAATTTTCAGTTTGCACATCTCCATTTCGTTCATCCAACTCTAATTATGTGTGTGACATCTACATATAAGTCCGAGGACTCATAGAAACCTAATAAAAATTGAAAGGTGAGGTTTGTATAAGGTTGGTGCCTTAAACACACAACAAAATGACGCCCAAAGATGTAAAGATGTAGTTTACATGCCAAAAATCTCTATGATGATTTGCAAATCTATTTTCATATCAATTACCATATTTAAAGCTTCAATACTAATATAGATCGAGCACATCTACGAATACTTGAAAATTTTGGAAATGGATGGTCCAGGTAATACACTACAAAATGCACTATTTCTAATACTTGAAATGATTTTTTTCACATGCATATAACTTGAGGTCGAGATAACAACTTTTGAAGTGCACTTTTTTTTTTTTTGGGGAACGGACCTTATTTCTCTACTATATATATTTTCCAAAAATAAAAGGTCATCCTATTTGTCACTCTACAATTAGGGGTGGCAACAGGTTGGGTTGGAGCCAAAGTTATCGGATTTGATCCAAAAAAATTCAAAATATAGATATTCAAATGTTTTATAAAATATATATGTATTTTTTAAATATTATAATAAAAAATGTATATTAAAATATTAATATTATATTATCTATATAGTAACACTATTTCAATTAGGTATGGGTCAGGTCTATATGGGCCCAGACCAAGGCCCGACTTGCTGAGTATACCCATATCCGGAACCCAAGTTGGGTCCGGAAGTGGGGTCCATTACCACCCCTGGTCTACAATACCATTTGCCCACTTCCCCCGATAAGGCGGGCGAAGCGCAGGTCAAACTATAACCAACCTCAAGTGAAAGGCTTAACCGCCCTTGACTTGTTCCCGTTTACTCTTCATTTTAAAATCACTCTTACACGCACAAAAAAAACATACATTCTCTCTCTCTTAATCTCAACTCTCTCTCTCTCTCTCTCAATCGTTTAAAAACTCTGTCTCTCTTGGTATATTTAAAAACATTCTCTATCTTTTAAAAATCTCTCTCTTTCATTTGTGCATTAACCGCTTTTCCCTCCACTTCTTCGAAATCTAAACAGTTATATATAACCATGCAACTATCTTTAAGACTATTTACCTCTTCTCTATCTCTCCCTCACCCCATCAAGTATCTCTCTCCCTGTTTGCAACATATTGCTGTCTCTAACTACTACATCTCCACATTATTACAATGGCTTGCTCTCTCTCGAAATCCCAAGCAATTTGCCTTTGGCTTTGCTTTTGGGCGATGGTGGTCACCATTGATGCTTTCTTTGAGTTCAGGGTGGGTGGGCCCCATGGATGGCATCAACCTATCGGAAACGAGACAGAAACTTACAACCAGTGGGCGGCGAGGAACCGGTTCCACGTAGGAGACTCTATTTGTAAGTAACTAAACCTCATGTTCAATTTAATTGTTGGTTTATTTCCAATGTTTGACTACTTTTTCTTTCTTTTCCTTGCTTCTCAATTTTAGAGTTGGCTTATTCCACTATTTATTTAGTTTTTCTTCTTACCAGTTGAGTTCTAGTTCTATCTATTTATTTATTTTCCAATTGTTCTTTGTTCATTTATAATTCTTTGTTCCTGCACTTATGGAAACTTGTTTCCCATTTTATGCGAGTGAAAACTCGCCCATTGAACCAAAAGAGCAAAAATAAATTTGTATATATGTTTTTTCAAAATTTTATACATACTATTTCAACATTTCTGAACTTTAAGTGCATTTTACTTAGCTTGTTTCTCTATAAATATTTTTTTTTTTGGGATTGTTTTGGGAACACTCCATGATTACATTGAGGTGACAATGTCAAAGTTTCCACATTCAATTTGGTTATAATAGACCACCTGCAGTATATGATTTGTGTACTACATTTACTTTTAATCTGCACTGTGTTTCCTCAATGACTGACAGAGGAGATGGCTCCTTAGTTCTGATAAGAAACAGGAGACACTTCATTAGTATCCATACAGTTTAAGACTTATAGTATTCTTTAAGAAACCATGTCATCAGCTCCCCAAATTACTATTTGACCTCCTTAAGTGTCTACTTTTGTCAATTTAATTAAATTTTAAAAGGTTACCTATTTGTTTCTATTGTTTGGGATATATATTATAAGTTACTTAACAAATGTAATTAGCTCACATTCTTTGAAATATGGCCAGTAACCATGTTATCCCTGATCCAAGAAACTGCTAAATCATGCACATTTGTATCTTTCTGTTATGTATCACCTAACTTATTTAAATGACAAGATGATCTCAGTTCACTACTGACCAATTTTTCTCTCTGCAAAATCCCCCCCATTCTCCATTTAAATTTAATTTTCCAGCCCCATATGTTTGCTTCATTCTACTCTATAGTGCAAGTTTTTCATTTTGTTTCTCCCTTCTTTTCTATGATCCTAATTTCTACCTTGGTTTTCTTGCCTTTCTTTTCTCCCTTTTTCTCTCTATAGACTTCAAGTATAACAATGACTCTGTCTTGGTTGTGAACCCAAGGGATTACTTACGCTGCAACACATCGAACCCCATCTTCAAGTTCGAAGATGGTGATACAACCTTCACATTCGAACGCTACGGATTCTTCTACTTCATTAGTGGGCAACCCGTTCACTGCAAAAATGGTCAAAAACTCATTGTTAGAGTCATGGCTCAGTCAGGAGTTCTGGCTCCTGCGGCTGCCCCTGATGCCGGTCAGCCTGATCAACCTGGTCAACCTGGGCAGGGCGGCGGGGAGGGGACCCCCTCTAAACCTCCTACCCCAAACACTGGCGTAAAACTAGCTATTGGGCCTCTATTCTTGGCTTGCCTTGGGGGTATGATGGTCATTTCCCCTTGGTTGGCCTTTTAGGTGCTCAGGCCTTAGTGAGGGGCATAATGTTCATTATCCCTTTTGAGGGCATTTGGGTTTCTTTTGCTATATTAGTTGAGTCACTTGATTGTGAACTTAATATGTAGACTGTTAGGCCAAGGGCAACTTAATATGTAGACTGTTTGGCCAAGGCCCTTCTTGGTTTATGGTTTAGAATTGACTTTGTAGGTTTGCAACGTTTTTTGGTTATTTTATAATAGTATTGTGCACGGATGGACTTGAAATATTTTTACAAGTTTCTGTTATTTGTGTTAGATAACTGGTTCGATTTTCGATTTTCTGTTTTGATGTGTGGAAAGAGAGAGATCACTGTGGGCCCAATCTTCTCCTTCTATTTTCTCTTCTTATTTGGTTAGAAAATGAGGATGTGCTGTGAGAAATTTAAAATTTAAAATTTAAAATTTTGCACTTTCTTTTGATTTAAAGAAAATAATTGAATAATGGATAGGGGAGAGGTGGGGTTGTCCCTGCAAATGGGTTATTATCTGCTGTCTTGAGTACTCATTAGTTATTCACCCTTTTTTTGAGGGGCTTTTTAATGTTGCAAAGCAACCCATAAACAATAGCTTTGACAGATAAAGCAATGCTAAATGCCAAAAGAGTGAAGCACTCTTTCATACAATAACTCTGATTATTGTACAAAGAACTCTCATTGAACATTAAACTTTCTATAGAGTGTTGCCACCACTGCTAGCTCTCTTATGAAGACATTAGCAAAAATTGGTACCTTGAATTATTGCAGAGAGAAAAGAAAAGAGCACGCGGATTCTGTTATAGAAAGAGAAAATTACATACGTGGACATTATTTTGGGCTGAGATTCCACGCGCATCGTATTTAGAGAAATTGTGTGATTCTTGGTCATCCTTTAAATCTCCGAGGAAGATTAATCACCTAAAGAAAGCAAGAGGGGAGAAAGAGACAGTGGCAAAGTTGAATTACTGCATTTATGTCGAATTACTCCAGTTCCTCATTTGAACTCGTGTTTTACTTGTGCTATGCTTGGGTTAAAACATGAAAAAAAGAAAGGAGAAATGCAAAATGAAAAAATAAAATATGAAAATTTGATACTTGAAATTTCATTTATAAGGAAAATAAAATTTGACATTTAAGCCTTTTTATTAAGTTTTGTTTATCGGTAATGTAGAGAAAGGATGAGGTAGAGTCTGCTTCTACCTAAACCACAACATAAAAAAGCTTTGTCGGTTTACAATGCATGAAAGGCATTGGAGAAAGAACATGACCAACATAAATGCTATGATATCCAATGGAGCTTACGATAGATTACATTAGGTCTCTCCATCACGGTCCATCAATTGATCTCATGGTTTCTATGATAGACTAGATAAGGGAGATTAATCACCTAAAAAAGCAAGGAGAGAGAGAGAGAGATACGGCAGAGTCGGATTATTCTGTTTATATGGAATTACTCCGGTCACTCATTCGAGCTAGTATTTTTTAAGTGTTATGTCCGGGTTAAAAATGAAAATAAAGAAAAGAGAAATTAAAAATGAAAATATGAAAAATTGATACATGATTGATTTTGAAAACTTACATATATTAGAAAAATAAAAGTTGACATTTAAGCCTTTTTATTAAGCGTTGTTTAAAAATAATATACAAAAAGGATAAGGTAGAATCTGTTTCTACCTAAACTACCGCAGAACACATCTTTACAATGGCGTACAATGGATGAAAGGCATTGGAGAAAGAACAGGACCAACATAAATGCCATGTTTATCTGATGAAGCCTACGGCATATTACATTAGGTCTCTCAATCACGGTCCATCAATTGATCTGACGGTTTCTATGATAGACTAGATTAGGCAGAAGACATTTTATTTGGCCCGTCTTTAATTTGCAGCCCAAATTCAAGCCTTCCATTAACTCTAATCCTACATTTAAGTTGGTTGATTTATGCAGTAATAATATAATATCATGTATAATATAACTTAATAAAGAAGAAATCATTTTTTTTTTTTTTGTGGATTAAAAGTTATAAGAGTCGAGAACTTTTCATTTACAAATTTTAGTAAGAAATAGTAAATGCCCTTCCAAAATACTGATAGAGGCTAATGCAAATACATATTTTAAAAATTTATAATTGCTCAACTCAAGTGGATTAAAATTAAAAGAATAAAAACAAAAAAGGAAATCCTTTCTCCAATTTAAAGAAAGTCTTAAAAATGTAATGCGTATTGCTGCCTCTCCCTCTCTGTCTTCTCTATATATCAGCTTTTTATGGAAATAAGTTGTAAGATTATACTAAAAATTTAGATATATGAGGTTTCTTTCTTGCCGATTGAAAATTATTTTGCACATTTCTTTAACTTGCAAAGATATTAATTGATCGAATTGTGTAAATCATTGCCAAATCTTAAAATCACATTGTTCGACCAACCTGGTTCACTACCCAACTCATATCGGTCCGGGGTTTGCAGACTATGGATAAGAGATGCAACTGTGAAGCCTATTTTTATCGGCCAAGAACTGAGACTTTGGGCCGACGAAATCTAAACTTAAGTATTAGCTAAATTTTGAAGATAAGATGAAAGGCACCATAAACACATTACTCTTTTCAGTATGTTAAGCTGTATCCGCATGCATCACCATTAGATAACAACTTCAATGCTCGAAGAGAGAGAATGCTGCTATGTAAGAGAGACAGAGAGAGCTTCTCAAATCGCAAAACCCTTTGAGTTCTAAAGAGAGAACTACTCCAGTCCCATTTGAGTTCTAAAGAGAGAGAGAGGGTCCTTGTTATAGGTGAAGTGTGAGTGTTTTTAAGTTTGTGAGAGAGTTTGATACTTCATTGAGGTGGTAGTGAAAGAAAGAGTCCTCTAAGCCTAAAGTTTAAGTCCTCTAAGCCTCAAGTTTCTCTTTTGAATGCTTTAAAATTCCTTCTCTTTTTTCTCTCAAACCCCAAAGCCTCAACCATATCTTTTAAATACTCCTTACTCACTAAAACTCTTAAACCCTCCTCTCTCTAAAACCTGTCCCCCATGCTCTAGAGTCCTAAAAAAAAGTCTTTAATTCTCACTCTAAAACCCTGCCTCTCACTCTAGTGTCCTCCCTCAAGTGCTTCACAACCCCTTATCTCTCTCTCTCTAAAATACTCCTTACTTTAAATCCCCATTCTTTTTCTCTCTAAAACTCTTAAACCCTCCTCTCTCTAAAACCTGTCCCCCTTGCTGTAGAGTATAGAGTCTTTAAAAAAAGTCTTTAAACCCTTTCTCCCTCTAAAACCCTGCCTCTCACTCTAATGCCCTCCTTCAAGCACTCCACAACCCTCTCTCTCTCTCTCTCTCTCTCTCTACTACTAAC